GTCATCCCCTCTCTCTGCCCCCCTTTCCTGTCTATCTCCAGCTGTCTCTATCAATAAAAAGGCAATAAAAAGCCCCCCCCCCAAAAAAAACAAAAAAAACAAACCAAAATAAATAAACATTTATGATGAGTAAATTATACATAAAATTCTTGTGTGTATACGTAACCTCTTTTCTTTTCGTGTATATCAGTTTGTACACATTGTTTCCCAATACGAATAAATGTAAATTATTTATGCTTCTTCATATTAAGCTTTCCTGTGACCTTTCTATATTTGTTCCTCTGACAGCCCACTTTACAATATTTCAGTACAGATTACAGTAAATGTAAAGTATGAAGAATGTGGTTTCCCGTGACTCAAAAAGTAGCTGAGTTATAATTTTATCTGTGCTTCCTCAAATTCAACTAATCCTCTGGATTTTTATGTTTCACACAAGGTCGCACAGATGATTTACATACAGATGTACTCAAAGTGGAAGTCTCATTTACTGCAAATGTGCTCAGTTGTTGTCCTGCAATCTGAATCCCAAAAATGACTTATTTGTTAGGGTCATTCAATCTGAATAGCATTGTTTTATGTTTTAATACTTGGCTTTTAGTCTATTGAAGAAGGCTTTTACAACTTCCTTGACCAATCAGAAAGCCTTCAATTGGGCCAGGGTTAGTTCTCGAGAGCTCCATCTCTAACTTGTTTGTGGCTGGGAAGCCAGTGAGGGAGCATGTCCTTGTCAGTGCATTAGTAACGTCTACTACTGATTGATCATAAAAGTGTGGGGAGAACTTTTTATACAGGGTATATGCAAGAATCCTTAAGTTAAATTGAATAAATTAAGAACTTTTTTAACACTAAACACAAAAACACACTCTGGCGGGGGAAAGTGTTAACACCCTTTCCATACATTCGTACATCTTTTCCCACACACAACCTGGTATTTCTAAAAGAGGAATGTGCGGTCAGAATGTGTCACCTCATGCAGACTTCAGACCAGTGTACGCCCAATTTTCAAAAAAGATAGAAGCTGCTGAAATGATAAGGCGGATGTAAATAGTTATAGTAAAACACAGTTATGGTTGTTTGCTAATTTCTTACATACATATATATATAAAATTGAAAACAAGCTATAAAAT